GCACAGCAGGAATCAATGTCCTAGAAGACTTTGAGTGCCGCTCAACAGTCATCTGGCAAACACTGAGTTAATCAGTGTGCAGGGAACTGATGCTTGGACTTCCCCTTTGCAATGGAAAATGTGCCGGGACACTCCGCCCCGTGACTCAGAGCTTGTGAGCATCCCCTGTGCTGTCGTCTGATCACTGATGGATTCCCGATTGAGGAGATCTGACCGATGACAGGACCAGCTGCTGCTCACTGCTGGCCGAGGCCGCAGGAACCGCCCGCCCCTCCCTCCCCCCCCTCCCCCCGTGCTGGGTCTCTTTAGAGGCTTCACGTCTTCTTGGTTCTTTGCTCGAGGGTCAGTGGGCACCGTTGGGGGCTCCTTTTCTCTCTGTCCCTAGCAGGAAGACGCAGGTGCCCACAGCTCCGAAGAGGTGTGCTACACAGTCATTAACCATGGCCTCTCCCCACGGCTGTCCCTGAGCTGCAACCACAGCTACGAGAACATCCTAGTGACCACAGAGAGAGGGGGACCGGCCAGGAGGAGCCCCGAGACCGAGTACGCTCTGCTCAGGACGACCAGCGTGCCCAGACCGACTTCCTGCACCCCAGAGCATGACTATGAGCTGGTCCTGCCACAGTAGTTGTCCCCGGAGGTCCCGTGTGTGCTGGGGTAGACAGCCGAGTCCGTCCACGCTGCCAGGCATCCCTGCACTCGGGCAGAGTCACACTCATGGCTGATGCCACGGGCCTCTCTAACACGCAACTCTGCTGCCCCCACCTCCCTCTCCTCTGGGTCTCCCGAGTGAGCTGGGAGGGCGGGCGCTACCCCAGGCTGCTCATGGGGGCCGGCGGGCTGTGCACCCTTCTGCCTGCCACGTTCACAGCCCTGAGCTTTGGTTTCAGTAAAAAAAATGACGGACTGGGTGGGGCTTTCATGTGTACATTGCCTGAGGCTGACGTGTTCCTGGAAGTGTCCACCCTCTGACTGCCCATGATCACACAGTGCTGCCCCTCTTAGGTGCCCATGCCCCTCTCAGTGCCTACGCCCACAGGGTGCCCGCCCCTTCTGGTCTTGCACACACTGCATGCTCTCAGCAGTCTCACGTCGAGTTGGGCGGTTCCTGAGACTTTGGTTTCCTCCTTTGGCTTGGGGGATTTTTTGTCAGTGCTGCGGGTACCCTGGGCAGGGCCAACGTCCACGCACGAATACATGTGCGCTCCGCAGCCATCTCGAGAGACAGCAGGCCGCTGAGTGGCCGAGTGGATCCAGGCAGCCCAGAGCCCTCCCACGCTGGGTCTCGACCGGCATACACACGGCCCAACTCTCCAGCTGGTCTGGAAGGGGCACCCATCACGAGTTGTCCAGCCTCTCAGTCCCTGACCGTGGGCATCAACAGATTCCTAGCTCTGACGGCGAGTAGCAGCACATTAAACTCCATGGGAAACTAGTCCACGTCGCTCAAAGACTGAGAACAGTAGCACTGGAGGCTCAGTGAGCACCAGCCAGCTTCAGGAAGCTCACAGACAGCGACTTCAGTAACACCAGAGTAAGACAGACAACGATTGCAATTCCATTTGCCGTTTTGTTACAAGAAATACGAAGCAAATTTGCTTGTGCGTGCTAAGGGGGCAGGCTTGGGGGGTGGGGGGAGGAACTGGGGACAATAATGGGGGGCAGGTTACACGGTGGTGGGATTGGTGTTGGAACAACGGATGCCTGAAACAACTGCCTTATATGAACAATTTTGTACATCACGGTGTTTCGATTTGAAAAGGTAAATGCAGAGGGCACAGGGTTGAGACGATTAGATCTCAACGAATGAAGGAAGAAAATAAATAAATGAACAAATTTGAATGAGAACAACAACAGTATGTCTGACTCCTGTTTGGATTAAGATTGCAGACTTTGAGGACGTCGCTCAATATCTTATTATCTCATTTTTACTTTAGACAAATTGGCAGGCTACCGAATATAACCTGCTCACACGGCAGAGTCTGGCAAACTCCCCGTGGCGTACCCAATATGCCAAATACCAGTAACAATGATAGGTCTCATTCTCCTAACCCTGAAAGAGCCTTGAATATGGCACTTTTTAAAAAATCTCAGGGCTAGGATGAAGGAGACGTTACTGGGGCCTGCTCGAGGCAATCGATGAACAACAGGATGGTCGTGATCGTGATCGTGAGGAAGTTCCTGCAGAAGAGCCCTGGAAACTGCAGTTTCCGATGGGACCATGGACAGACACTCAGGTGCAGCCTGGGCCTGGGTCCATGCAGGAGTGTCCACTCTGCTCTTACCACCAGTGTATCTGTAACGCACACACATGCAGTGGTGCGCCACATACACACACCTGTGCACACCCACACGTGAACACACACACACACACACCTGCACACACCTACACACCTGCACGTGCATGCACAGAGCCGCCCCTTGCTGCAGTTGGTCTCCTTTGGAGAGGGCCAGGATCACCACGGGACAGGCACACAGCCACCGCCCGGCTCATTGGTCAGCGAGGAGAGCGTGGTCACGTTTATCTCAGGCAGAGCCCTTACTGCATTGAAGTAAGAACCGAGGTAAACAGCCATGCCTTTGGGAGTGCACCAGTCCCAGAGTCGCAGGGGAGGAGCTCAGAGCCCAAAAGACGGGTGGGGCAGGGCAGGGAGGGGAGGGGCAGGGCAGGGCAGGACTGTGCAGGGCGAGGTGGGGCGACCCCAGCAAGAGCCCAGGTCAGCAGGTAAAGCCCAGCACAAAGAGCAGTGCATCCAGACCGGGAGGATGAAGTGGGATGGGCGAGCTCACACTGGTGCCCTGTACCCCCAGGAGGAGGGGGGTCTTGGGCACCACCTAGAACCCCCCAGCAGGGTGGGGAACTCATTGAGCTCCATCCTGTTCATTCCCACCCTAGGGCAGGGAGAGAGTTGGGGGGGGGGGAGTGGGGAGAGAGGGAGGGAGGGAGAGGAGAAGGGAGGAGGGAGTGGAAGAGGGAGGAAGAAAGAGACTGGGAGGGAGGTTGAGGGAGAGAAGGAGGGAGGGAGAGGAGGAGGGAGCGGAAGAGGAGGAAGGTGGGGAGGAAGAAAGAGACCGGGAGGGAGGTTGAGGGAGGGAGAGAGGGAGAAAGAGAGAGAGGGAGGAAAGGAGAGGCAGGGAGTGATGGAGAAAGGAGGGAGGGAGGCAGAGAAGGAGGGAGGGAGAGGAAGAGAGAGGGAGACAGAAGCAGGGAGGAGGACATGAGCAGGTGGACTCCAGAGACATGGACACTGGATGCAGGGGACCGACCTGGGGCAGGTTGCACGGAGACGGTTTGCAGTGGAAGCAGGTCTCTGGCACTTTAAGGGGCAGCGAAGGTCCCTGGAGATCCTGGTTGGGAAGGAATCAGAGCCCAGTCTGGTCCACCCAGCCCTGCTGTCCCCAGCTGCGTTAGGCCAGGCAGTGACCACGGTTGGTCAACTAAGAGAAAATTCCCACACAACACAGGAGGAGGAAGAGGCCCGAACCAGGCAGGTGGTGAATGGATCTTTACACGGGGCCCCTGGCTCTCCGCACAGTGGCTGTGCAGGGATGAGGCAAGGAGCCCCAGCAGTCCCCCGGGAAGCCAGAGCAAGCGCAGGTGGGGGTGGGGAGTTGTGCACTGGGTCTGGGGAAGGCTGGCGGAGTGGCTGGAGCAGCCCCAGAGCTGGTCGGGGGTGGGGGAGAGTCACAGTCATGCCCCAAACTCACCAGGGAGCCATGGCGGGCAGCTCACAGAGGGGCTTCCTGGCCTGCTGTGTCCCACCCGTGTCCCCCACCTGACGTGCCACCCTCCAGGCTTGTGGGGCTCCAGGCCCTGTGCCAGCATCCCGTCAGGGTAGAGGCTGGGGGCTGTGTTGCCCCCAATCAACCACCTACTCGCAGGGGCTCCTCTGGGCTGCACCCCTGCCCACTGCCCTGCAGGACGCCGGCTGGGCGGCACATCCTGCCCATGTCCCCCCTGACCTGTCTGGGGCTGCCCTGCTCGGTGGACGAGCCTGGCTGTTCCCAGGCCCCAGGGGCTGTGCCTTGGCGGCTCTTGGCACACTGAGTCTCTCGCGGTGCCCGGTGTCCCCGCCAGAGGGAGTCAGGCTCGGCCAGCGCTGTCCCAGGAGGCGGGCGGTGGGTGAGATGCTGGCAGGTGTCCCTGGCCCAGCTCTGCCCAGCCTCCCGGCCTGTTCCCCGGGGCCAGGGAGGGAGACTGACCACGCAGCCCAGCCTCACATCCTCCACCCCTGGACACCCAGAGGAGGCCGGGAGGGCCAGCCCAGGAGACTCGCCATGAACTCTCCTAGTCTCAGGCCTCGTCCCTGGAAGTGGGTCTCATCATCGGGGTGTATTTGGGAAAAGAGACGCCAAGCAGGGGTGGAGCAGCGTCTCCCAGTGTGGGTCCCCTGGGTGCTCAGAACGACCACAGGTGAAAATCACATTGGTGGGGGCCCCGGTGAGAGCCAGGGTCAGCGGGTAGGAGGGGGAGGACTTGGAGGACTGAGGTGCAAGTGGCCTGTGGCCGGAGATAGGCTAGACCCCTCCTGGGAGCCAGGACAAGGCCACGAGCTCTCGGGCTGGTGCAGAGACCACCTCACACTAAAGACGGTATTCACGTCTTTTATTGGGGGGATAGGCCACGCCCAAGGTGCTCAGGGCTCGCTCCCGGCTCTGTGCTCGAACCCACATGGGTTGGGAATCGGCCAGGAGGCTGCATGCAGGACACACACCTCCCCGCTGACCTGATTCTCCAGCTGCAATTTTTTTTTTTTTTGCTTTTTGGGTCACACCTGGCGATGCTCAGGGGTTACTCCTGGCTCATGCACTCAGGAATTACTCCTGGCGGTGCTCGGTGGACCATGTGGGATGCTGGGAATCGAACCTGTGTCGGCCATGTTGGCTGTGTGCAAGGCAAATGCCCACCCGTTGTGCTATCACTCCAGCCCCACCAGCTGCAATTTTTAAAAGAAAGCACGATCACTTATCAACAGCCTGGTCCTGCAAATGCCAGATGGTCAGGTAGAACGCGACCCCAGAATCCTCCTCAGAACCTTCCGGAGCCCGGCCTTCACCTCCTTGTTCCTCAGGGTGTAGATGAGAGGGTTGAGCACGGGCGTCACCACCGTGTAGAACAGGGACACGAACTTGCCCTGGTCCTTGGACCTGCTCTGGGCCGGCTGTAGGTACATGAAGATGATGGTCCCATAGAAGATGACGACCACTGTGAGGTGCGAGGAACAAGTGCTGAATGCCTTCCGCCGGCCCGCGGCCGACCGCATCCTCAGCACCGCCCGGGCGATGCAGCCGTAGGAGCCCAGGATGAAGGACACGGGCAGTACCAGGAAGAGCACGCTGGCCACAAAGAGCTCGGCCTGGTTGAAGGTGGTGTCCACGCAGGCCAGCTTGATGAGCACGGGCACCTCGCAGACGAAGTGGTCCACACGGCGGTGGCCACAGAAGGGCAGCTGCAGGGTGAGCGTGGACTGCACGAGGGTGGTGGCCACGCCGCTGAGCCAGGCCGTGGACGCCAGCAGGCGGCAGAGTCGGGGGTGCATGATGAGTGTGTAGTGCAGGGGCCGGCACACGGCCACGTAGCGGTCGTAGGCCATGACGGCCAGCAGGACGCACTCGGTGGAGCCCAGCGCCAGGGACACGTAGAGCTGCACCACGCAGCCCCCATAGGAGATGGACTTGTCGGGGCCGCCCAGGTTGACCAGCAGCTGGGGCACGACGCTGCTGGTGAAGCAGAGGTCCAGCAGGGACAAGTGGGCGAGGAAGAAGTACATGGGCGTGTGCAGCCGGGGGTCCAGCCGCGACACCAGCATGATGGCCGCGTTGCCCAGGAGTGTCATGATGTACAGGAGGGAGATGAGCCCAAAGAGGACGCGCTCTAGCTGGGGCCGGTCGGAGAAGCCCACCAGGATGAAGCCCGGGGGGCCGCTGGTGTTGGTGCCCGGCATGGCATCACGGGCAGGGCCAGGGCTGGGCCCCCTGAGCCCGCGGTCAGGGGCTGAGGCAGGGAGACGAGCTGGGCTGTGGGGAAGAACGGCCAAGACCCGCGTGAGTCCCCTGGCTCCCCCTCAGGCCAGGGCAAGGGCCAGGCGGGTCCGGCGGGTCCAGCGGGTCCAGGGGCAGACAGACCCCTGGGGAGGGGCAGGGCGGGCATGCCAGAAGCCGGCGCCCAGCAGAGCTCGTGGGAGTGAGACCCCCAGGTGTGCAGGCGCCTTGGGGGAAGCCTCCAGGTGCCTCTTCCTAGAGGACGCTTGGGGCATTTCAGCGCTCACAGCTCCTCTCTCTATCCCTGCTCTTTCCCGGGAGCTGCTGCCCAGGTGGTAAGGAAGGAAGCCCAGGATAGCATGCAGGGAAGCTTCTGGAACCGGGGGTACTGAGAGAAGCCCAAGAGCACAAGCCCTGGGAGGTGGGTCTCAGTCCTCTCCATGCCCACAGGTCACCCTGGTCGCGGAGGTGGCCCAGAGCTCAGCCACTGCCCCTCAGGTGAAGTGGATGAGACATTACGGAGCCCCCTGCCTCCTGCGGCCCCCCGAACCTCTCTTCCAGGTGGGAGGCTCAGATGTGCTTCCCAGGAGGGCTCTGCTCGGCGCAGCCCCTCCTCCTGCCGGGAGCCCCAGGCTGCCGCAGGAATGGGAGGACACGGCCCCAGACTAGGCGGAGGGGGACAGGGCAGGGTTCAGGCAGAGCCCCTGGGGCTGCGTCTCGGAGGAGGGCTGGACGCAGGCAGCAGGTGAAGGGCTGTGGGGAATGGGGCATCAGTCTGCCCCCGGGGAAGACCCCCACAGAGACCCCAAGGAGAGCCCAGCTCGTACCCGGACAAGAACCCACACTGGGAGACCACACAACCCACACTGGGAGACTAGCTCGTACCCAGACACACAACCCACACTGGGAGCCCAGCTCATACCCAGACACACAACCCACACTGGGAGACCAGTTTGTACCCAGACACACAACTCACACAGGGAGACCAGCTTGTGCCCGGACACATGACCCACACTGGGAGACCAGTTCGTACCCAGACACACAACCCGCACTGGAAGCCCAGCTCGTACCCAGACACACAACCCGCACTGGGAGACCAGTTCGTACCCAGACACACAACCCGCACTGGAAGCCCAGCTCGTACCCAGACACACAACCCGCACTGGGAGCCCAGCTCGTACACAACACACAACCCACACAGTAGCCCAGCTCGTACCTGGACGCATAACCCACAGTCCAAGACCCCCGTTCATGCCCCAGGTCCACACCCATCTGAGAGGATTAGACAGACCCTCAGATGTGGCTTACAGGAGGCCCCGGGGGCGGGGGTCTCAGTGGTGGTGTATGACCAGCCTAGAGCCAAAGCAGCTGGAACAGGAGGGAGCAGAGAATCACGTGCCAGGGGAGATCGGGCTCTCCGTGGCCTGGGCGGGACATGCCCGGGCGGCATTTCTATGAACTACACGCGAGAGTTCCAGGGTGCGAGCAACATGCCCCACGGGGGTCGCTGGGAAGGGCTGGGCAGAGGCAGCAGTGGACTTGTGCTGGGAGGGGTGGGGACGGCGCACCCGAGACTCTGCCGGACTGTGCCCGGGGGTGGGGACGGCATGCCCAGACTCACGTGTGTTGGCAGGTGGCACTCAGGGTGCTCGGCAGTCACTGTGCTCAGGGCTCCGGGCTGGGGCATCGCAGGGACGCGGGGGCTTCCCTGGGGGCCCAGTGGGGCAGCCCCTCGTCTGCTGGGCGCCTCCTGCTTGGCCAGGGGCTGTGGGCAGTCCCTGTCGAACGAAGGTCCAGTCACTCGTGGATGCTGCCACCTCTCCTGTGCCCTCTCCTGTGTCACGCATGGCCCTAGGCACTGCCTGCTCTCGCCTGGAGTGACCATGGCGACGTAGGCACTGCCCGGAGCCCCAGCCTGTGCCAGGTGGGGGCACGGGGGCTCCCCGAGGCCTTCCCCGGGCAGCTCTGGCCTCTCCCTGCCCCACGCACCCACTGATCCCTGGGGTGCGGGGCTGTGCCCAGCAGGACAGAGAGGAGACACTGGCCGGGAGGGCTGGGCCCTGGGGTGCCCCTTTACCTGCCCCTCGCACGAGCTGCCTCTCGCCCCACTCAGGCCCCATGGCCCAGGGTTGTGGCACACCTAGGTGTTTCCATCAGCCCTGTGCCTTAGGGAACTCAGTTCAGTCAGGGTGCATGTGGGCAGCAGCCAGGCTCCCCGAATGACCCAGGTGTGTAGGTCTCCACACGGGAAAATGGGCATGAACTCCCAAAAACCAGGTGGATAATTCCGCGGGCTGGAATGATAGTGCGGGCTGGAGCGATAGCCCACCAGTAGGGCGTTTGCTTTGCATGCGGCTGGCCCGGCCGAGCCAGGTTCGATTCCTCTGCCCCTCTCGGAGAGCCCAGCAAGCTACTGAGAGTATCTCGCTCACACGGCAAAGCCTGGCAAGCTACCCGTGACGTATTCAATATGCAAAACATTTTAACAAGTCTCACAATGGAGACGTTACTGGGCCCGCTTGAGCAAATCGATGAACAACGGGAGGACAGTGCTACAGTGCTAATTCCTCGTTGCCATCAGTATTTCCATGGGGGTTCACCAAGCGCCTTCTCAGTGCGGGTCCCCTGTGCCCCCACACGGGTGGGATGGAGACCGAGACTCCAGCGTGTGACAGGGTGAGGGTTTCCTCCTCACCTGCTGAGCTTCTCAGAGAGGCCTGGGCGTGGGTTCTTCTCTCGCCGGAAATGCGGGTCACGCACAGACGGCCCGCCCTAGGGTTCCACAGACAGGAAGCGGCCGGACAGGGAAGGAGAAACCCAGAGTTTGCACAGCAGAGTGCGTGCCCGGGGGCAGGAGTCCCGGGTCCACCCCGGCACTGCCATCCAGGACAGTCTAGAGAGACTTTCCTGGGAGACAGGCCCCGAGGGAAGGGGCATGGCTGGAGCCTGGGACCCTGTGCTGACGGCTCCACATGCCCCAGGACCACCTCCTCCCAGTTCCTCCTGCTACATTCCCACCCGAGAGCCCCTCACTGTGCGGGAAGGCACAGGGAGGGCTTCCCGGGGAAAGAGGCAGAGGGGCTGAGGGGCAGCTGCCCTGTGAGCGGGGTCGGGGCTGGAAGCAGCTCCAGTAGGAGGCCGGGCGGAGGCCTTAGGAGCTGTGGGCTGGCTGGAGTGTGTCCAAGAACATGGACACTCCCTGCACCCCCTGAAGTCCAAGAAAGTGGCCTTGGCAGAGTGGGCCTGGCCTGTCTGCTAGGTAGGTCTCCCCAGGAAGGAGGGAAGAGGGAGCACGGCTGACTCGCGTCCCCGGACGGGGAGAGACTCCCCTGCTTTCCTCTGTGGGAGTCGTGGGGCTCGTTAAAATGTCCAGGACAGGTCCCCGGGGACTCCTGGTGCCTCTGATGCTGGCGCGCCTCGGTGCGGCCCCCAACCGGCCAATTAAACTCTCCCATTACCCGCTGGTCCCGGCCAGGGGCTGTCGGAAATGCACTTGTGTTCCCAGAACTTCAGAGGTGTCCTCCCGGGAGGAAGCCCTGTGGGCAATGGTCCCCCAAGTCCCGGGGGCTGTGGACCCAGCGCCAAGCGGACACGGTGGGGGGGAGTGGTGGGGGAATGGCTGGAGCAATAGCACAGCAGGTAGGGCGTTTGCCTGGCACGCAGCCGACCCGGGTTCGATTCCCAGCATCCTATATGGTCCCCTGAGCACTGCCAGGAGGAATTCCTGAGTGCAGAGCCAGGAATAACCCTAATAACCCTTGAACAATGCCGGGTGTGACCCAAAAAGCAAAAAAACAAAAAACAAAAAACAAAAAACAAAAACCCAGTGACCAGTCGGTGCAAACAGCCCCAAGTGGAGCAGATGACGCCCTCTGCCCTCTCTCTCCTCCTGACCTTCACGCTTCATTTGTCTTTAGAGGCGAACACTTGCTGTTACTCAAAATACAACCCCTCTCTTCCTTGATCACAGGTCTGATCGTGGGGGCCACAATGTCCGAATTCCACATGCTGCTGGTGAACTCTCTCCTCTCCCGCCCCCTCTCCTAGACCCGGGTCTGCTCACCTGGAGCTCAGAGGTTTTGCAAGGCCCCGATTCCAGCCCAGCTGCCAGAGTGGTTGTTTAGCCCCCGAAGACCCCAACAGCCCTCATTGTCCCACACAAGGCCCCAGCTTGAGCCGCTTGGCTGCTGCCCTCAGCTGCCCTCAGCGTGCCCTGGCCTCTCCCCCACATAGGCAGACCAGGACACAAAGACGAGCCTTCCCTCCCCCAGCTGGACGGATCCACACGAGGCCAGCAGCTGAATCCAAGCAGTAACAAGGTACCACGTGGTCACTCACTGAGAGGAACTTGACAGAACATCTGTTTGAGGGGCTGGAGGTCAGCATGGAGGGGGGGGGGGGCGCTTGCCTTGCCCCGGCCCACCCGGGTTTGGTGCCCAGCGTCCCGTAAGGCTCCCTGAGCAGAGAGCCAGGCATAGCCCTGGGCACTGCCGGGAGTGGCCCTAAGACAGAACCAAAAATCAGCTTGGACCCGGAGAAGTTCCCTCACTGGCTGACTTCTACTGTGCAGGGGGCGAGTCACTGCATCCCTCCGTGAGGGCTCCCAGGAGTCGGACACCCAGGAGGGCGCGGGGCTGCTTCATCCTGCCTTATGTCTCCGCAGTGCCCCCGCCCCCTTGCAGGGGCTGCCAAGGGGCACGCAGGAGGACTGGTCAGTGCGCCTTGGCCAGCGGTCAGGTGTGAGGATGAGGCAGTGTCGGGCCCTGCGGACCACACGGTGCCGGGCACCTAACCCAGCTGACCTGTGTGCTGTCTGGAAACAGCGTCTCTGTAGGAGAAAGGACAGCAAGTGCTCATGGGCCATAGGGGGCAGTGCCCGGCCGTGTGTGAGGGCAGTGCCCGGCTGTATGTAAGGGGCAGTGCCCGCTGTGTGTGAGGGAAGTGCCAGCTGTGTGTGTGAGGG